CTTTTCCCCCAAGACAGGCTTTAACGAAAGTCTGGAAGAGATTGAGAAGAACTGAATTACCATCCAGGTTCTTTGCTCAAGTGTGAAGATGAAGAGTCTGAACTGAGAAAAGCACTTCCACAGCTCCCTTAAGGGAAATGCCTACTGATCATCTTAGACTGCCACCAGATCACAAACATAGTTTTGATTAATAAGTTCAGATTAATAAATTTAGCACTTCTAGACAAGTCACAACACTTATGACATGGCTTTTTACACGTGGTGAAGTCTCCCACAGCTATTCCATGTCTGAAGCACAGAGAAAAACTGGGAAAAAAAAAGAATTAGATTCCCAAGTCTTCACTTGTGTCTCAGCCTAACTTTTAAGAACTATGGCCACCATTTTGTGTTAATTACTATTTTTTAAAACCAAGTTTCAACAAAGCATCATTTCAATAGCTTAAAGCTCGGAATTTGGTAAAAAAAAAAAAAAAAAGCACAGGCTAGGGCTCAAGATACATGAAGTTTCATTCCTAACTGTGCTACAGATTCCCAATGGGATTTGGCAAACCACTTAATCACACTACACCTGGATTCTCATCTGTAAAACTTCCAAATTGCATGGTAAGGACTTCAGAGTATTATCTACAGTGCTGGGTATATGCACATCAGCTTTTCACAGCACTGATCTTATCCTAGGGGCTTTTAGACTCAACTGCAGCAGTCTTAATTCCTTAAGAAAAAAGAAGAAAAACAGAAGATGGTTTCCTGTTCTGCCAAAAGGAAGAGAGGGTGGGCGCCAGGGTAACATACAAAACATGCCCAGGTTCACCACTCTTCCTGTTTGTCTCGGCAAAATTACATGACAGATGACTCTTAGCTAGTTTCAGCTTTACTAAAAATTTGAATGGCAACCACTTTCTTGCTTGGTCTGGGGAAGGATAGTGTCGCACTCTGGATTAATGCCTGAGCACCAATGCTGTTGCTCAAGTGCTAGAGGCAGGAAGTGCAGCTGCTAGTCCATGAAAGAGTGAAAGTGACTATCCACAGAGAGATTTTTACATTTTGCAGATTTAGAAAGCTTATTTAGGCTTCTAAATCCAAAGCATAGATCTAAGTCTCAAGGATTTTAGTGTGAGTCTAGCAGCCTTACTATCTTTACATATCTTTCCAGAACTAATGGTAAATATACAAAGTGAAAAAAAAATAATTACAGGGATCACCTTTTTGCTTTCTTTCTGACTTTCTTCTTTCATAGAATCATAGAATGGTTTAGGTTGGAAGGGACCTTAAGCATCATCTAGTTCCAACACCCCTGCCATGGGCAGGGATACCTCCCACTAGACCAGGTTTTTCAAAGCCCCATCCAGCCTGGCCTTGAACACCCCCAGGGATGGGGCATCCACAGCTTCCCTGGGCAACCTGTTCCAGTGCCTCACCACCCTCAGAGTGAAAAATTTATTCCTAATGTCTAATCTAAATCTACCCTCTTTCAATTTGAAACTGTTACCCCTGCCCTATCACTACATGCCCTGGTAAAAAGTCCCTCTCCAGCTTTCTTGTAGGCCCCCTTCAGATACAAGAAAGTCACTATAAGATCTCCCCAGAGCCTTTGCTTCTCCAGGCTGAACAACCCAAACTCTCTCAGCCTGTCCTCATCAGAGAGATGCTCCAGCCCTCTTATCATCTTTGTGGCCCTCCTCTGGACCTGCTGCAACAGGTCCACGTCCTTTTTATGTTGAGGCCTTCAGAGTTGGATGCAGTATTACAGGTGGGGTCTCACAAGAGTGGAATAGTGGGGCAGAATCCCCTCCCTCGACCTGCTGGCCATGTTTCTTTTGATGCAGCCCAGGATGCACGTGGCTTTCTGGGCTGCTGGCGCACATTGCCGGCTCATGTTGAGCTTCTGATCAACCAACACCCCCAAGTCCCTCTCCTCAGGGCTGCTCTCAATCCATTCTCCACCCAGCCCGTAATTGTGCTAGGGATTGGCCTCACTCACATGCAGGACCTTGCCCTTGGCCTTGTTGAACTTCATGAGGTTTACATGAGCCCACCACTCAAGCACGTCCAGGTTGGCATCCCTTTCCTCCAGTGTGTCAACCGCACCACACAGCTTAGTGTCATCAACAAACTTGCTGAGGGTGAATTCAATCCCAACATCCATGTCACCAACAAAGACATTACACAGTATTGGTCCCAGTACTGACCCCTGAGGAACACTGCTCGTCACTGCTTGCCACTTGGACATGGAGCGGTTGACCACAACTCTTTAAGAGCGACCATCCAGCCAGTTCCCTACCCACAGAGTGGTCCATCGATCAAATCCATGTCTCTCCAATTTAGAGACCAGGATGTCGTGTGGGACAGTCTCAAATGTTTTGCACGAGTCTAGGTAGATTCTTTCTTCTGCTTAAAATCATAGCAACCTTGATGTCTGACAATCATAGACGGAGAATAAATATACTTTTGAAGTACTTAATAGAATTTTTCAGGTAGAATTGAGTTTTTCACAGCTTTGAGATGTCAGAATCTCTCAGGTCTCAGAGATCTTGGTCTCCTGGTTGACAGAAATCAATGAAACCCATAGCCTCACTCACTAAAAAATAGGAAAATGACATGGAGAATACTGGAGAATATAATACAGAACCTGTTGCTCAAACTTATAAATCCTCCATGATACCATATGTGCAAATAGCTGCAGACAAGATATCTGTTTGCAACACAGTGTACACATCAGTTTCTATTTTTCAAAGCTCTGCAGCAACAGCAGTATGACATGGCAGAACTAAGGGTTAATAGCTCTGCTACCTTCCCTACAAACTCAGAAATCCCTGTTCAGCTCTATGTTGCATGCTATGTGTGCTGTAATTTCAAAGCACATTCTCAATAATCATTTTATACTATTTCATGTTCTAATTCAAGCAGAAGTTAAAAGTCAGATGAAGGCTATGAGAAATCAGATGACTTGTGCAGGAGATGAGATAAAACAATCAGAATGGTGCATTATATACATAAAAGGTTGGTATTAATAGGTTTGGTTGCAGTAATATGGGTCAAATTTGACCATCTTACAATGCTTAGCACCCTACTTTGCCTGTGAACCTACTGCTGTAATGAGTAAGACTGTGTAAAGAATGACGTGCTGGTCCCCACAAGTGTGACAGCATGTGATGCATTGCAAAAGGATATGCATTCTCCCTGAAACTGATGTGAGAAACAGAAATGAACAGACCTAAGGTAGAGCTGTGAAATTCCAGCTGCTTCCAAGACAGCTCCCAGAAACTAGAAATGTTTAGCACATACTCTGCCATATGTCAGTAAGACCCAGCATTATGCCTTTTCTTCAGAATAGAGATGGCAATATTTTTACAGCTTCTCTCCCACTGCCTCCCCTAATGAAGAATCCCTTCTGCAGTTTCCTCACAAATGTGGACTGTGCAAGAGCACTGAAAGGAGAGAAAGGAAAGGCCTATGCAAAGAGAAAATCTGATTAAGTAAACAGAAGAGTCTCTTTCCTCTCTTTATCGTTTTTAGTTCTTACCATTATATTGTTATTTTTACCATTTTACTTTCTCAGAAGTTTGCAATTAAATGCTTAATACCAGCTCAAGCTACTAAAGACAACTTTAGGAAAGGCTTTAAATGAAAACCTCTGGATTTCAAAGTTCGTGATCTCGCTAAATGTAAGATATTCCTAATGGCATTCAGGGAGCTTTTGCAAACTCAAAGGCCATCTAGTGGCTAAAGTAAAAAATCCCACATTTTTAACACGGCAATATTCAAGTCATACTACCTGTCTACCATACTACCCATGGCACATGCACTTGCACTTCTACCCAACAAACCTGCATCCAAACCACAACAATACTAAAGAACAGGAGGCATTTGAAGTATGAAAGTTATGGCATAGTTTGAAAATAAACATTATTTTTTTTGGAAGCGAGAACTCTATTCAGAATGGCAGCAGCAGAAATTCCTTGTGCAGGCTAAGCTCAGAACCTTCTCTTCCATGTCCTGCTGCTGGGCATTTACAGGAATGCCTGTATTAGGTAGTCTCAACATCATTAGGAACCATAAGTCGGGTGTTCTGGGCTGTGATCTAGCAGATGTGCTCAGGCTAGCTTCACATGCAACATTTCTCAATTGAGAGAAATGGAAAGGTGCCTGCTGAGTTCTTAAAACTTGATTATGCAATTAGTCTAGCAAGGTTAATAGCAGGTAAGGGAGAGTATATTCTGATTTCCATCCTAGGTCAGCGCTTGTTGACTGTGAAGAGTTCATTATACCAAGACAGTATATTGCACTGGTGTTACCACAGGCAGCTTTTACTTCCCAGAATGGGCACACTAAGGGTAGCTTTTGGTCTGATAGTCAATTATTGTCAGTTCATTATGACCATTCTGTACTAGACGGATGGCAGGGTCATCTGAGCTACATCACAACCTCTAGATGGAAAAAAACCCTCTAATGTACATTTCTGGTTGAAAAGTGTGGTGCATGGTGTTAGGAAATAATTTCTGCAAAACTGTAACACTAATGTGATGCAATAAAAAAACAGGCTCTAATGTTCTATGACAAATTCATATTTCATCAAAACAGTTGCATTTAAGCTTACCATAACACAAGTAGATAAATAAAATTTGTTACATCATCATCTCAGTAGCCATCTCTCTGCTCATTTTAAATCAGCTTCCTTGATTCATTTTGTATATCTAGGCTGAATGGTCCCTTGGATTTATACAGAACTACATTGACCACTGTAGGCAGTTACCACTGTAGCCATTTACTACTGACTCAGTTATTAAAAAGGACTCTACTCTTCAAGTTCATCCTTGAATCTGAAAGCCCCCGTGTTAACAGAGTTCATTCAGGTTATTAAAAAGAATAAGGAGAGTTCCTCCCAATATTTTTCATTCTTTTGTCCCAAGACCAGATCTGTAACTGGTTTTTTTCCCCCTTTCCCAAGTAACAAGAACTCAAGAGGCAGTATCAAAATCATGCTAATAAGAGAAACATACTGTGCAGTCCTTGTGTAGCGAGGCTTTGAAGTTCTCACATGGTTAAGTGGAATTAAGTCTACATCAGCATTGTCAACGTCTTCAAGATTTACTGCACCAACACAGCCACTGTTTGGGTAGAAAAGAAATCACACATATGTAAATTATTCATAAGACAGCTGGTGGAGGCAGCTGAACCATATACTGCATGCTCCAAAATTGTAGTTATTTATTAAAATGGTCCACAAGAAAAAACATGGAGATGAACTGCCCTGTGTGCTTGGCATGTCCCAAGATGAAAACAATCATCTGCTGAACTTGCAGCACATAACAAATGATAGCTCTCATACATATGTGCAGAGAGGAGGCTTGGGAATAAGAATGGAAATAAGATAGAAATTCGTCATCTCTTGTCCTTTTGGCTATGCCCATGAACAGACTGGGCTATTCTTCCAAAGAGGACATAACAGATCCCGATTTCTAGTTTATAGGTAAAGGCTGGAGTCACCTGCAAACAGCGGACTCAGCACACACTCTCCCTTGGCACCAGAAAACACCTTAAGATTAGATAACATAGTCCATCTGCAACTCTTGCTTGAGAAAATAAGGGATGGATTGCTTGGGCTTAATCAAAAATGTAGAAAGTAGAAACAACCCAGGAACATTGTACTTACGTATACAAAGGGATATGACAGGTTTGAGAGCTTCGGCTTACACTGTTAAAGACAAAATAGATCAATCACCTTTTTTTCGCTAGACAGAATATTCTGATAGAATATTTATGAGGTCCCAAAAGAGATATGGTGACAAGTCAAAGTTTTGCTCTTGAAATGATGCAATGCTCATTTGAATTTGGTAAAAGACTGTGGTAAATGATTAGGTTGGCATATATGCTAAACGACCCTGTTCAGTGGGCAGAATCTTGTCTTTTAATCTTCATCCTCAGATACTGGGACTTCAGTCAATTTCCTAAGAGAGTATAAGCAAGTTTTCTTCAAAAATGAACTACTTCTCTACTTGTAACACTTCTTTTATTCAATTCTTGGCTCTTATCTGAGCCCTTCTGAACCTCCTGTGACTCTTTACTGGTCTCATCTAAAACATTCTGCACTGAGATGGAATAGAGTAAAGGAAATACAGAGTGAAGAAAAGACACGGATGCACAGATGATTGTTTTTGATTCTACAGACAGCAGATAAAACCTTGAGTTTCTACATACGTATGACTACTGTGGTGTTTTCATAGATGTCATGTCTTAACAAAAACATCAGATACATGAAGTCATGACAATCATTCATTTACAGATTTCCTCTGTTCTGCTTTTATATTTAAACTATCTCACAGGAGACGCATACCAGAGTATACTTTTCATATAGTTATTGATTGACAAACTTAACTTATCTAGTTACAAAACACTACTGAATTTAGTCTCTGAAATAATTAGCTGTATGCAGACTTCATAAAGGAAGTGTTCAGAGGACCCCAATATTCACAAAAAAATGAAACTTACAAACTAACAGGTCTCTGTGGAGAGGTAAAAGATCTTGTTTGAAATCTGTCCCAGAGGACTCCGACAACCTAAAATCATAATTAGATGTTTCTTGTAAGGCAAAATTACCTAATTAATTTGGCTTAATAGATTTTCATGCAGTAATCAGAGCCAACAGCAGGACTGAATTTTAGTTTAGTAAAAATAATAATTATTACTGTTAATAGTCACAAGTAAGCTAATATAATGTGAAATTTGTTATGCTACAGCATCATTCTCATCAACAAATTTTTCATCAATATCCTTATCCTGTCTTTCGGTACTGTGCATGCATATCTTCTTCTGTACCAATTGACAGGGGAGGGAAAAAATACAAAATCATTTGAGGCAATTACTGGAGTGTGCTCATGACCTTAAATGCTTACTTGAGACTGTTTTTATTTGAAAACATTGCTGTGGGTTTATGTGTATAACCTACACAAAATTTAGGCTACATTTCATTGGCAAAACCTAAAACCTGTTGGCAAGAAATTGCTCACTGACTTGGCTTATTTCAGGTTCAGGATTGTATCTCTTTTTTGTGAAACACTGGGAAACAGGATCAGCCAACACTTCCACTGTTGATTCTGGAGCCTGGATTTTGGAAGGTAATATATTATCCCAAGGAACTTCTTCATAAGCTCTAGATCAACAATAAAAAAGATAAAAAAGTTTCCGTATAATCCTTAGTGAATGACATCAGTAGCTGGATAATAAGGAATTATGTGACAAAGAAGGATCTAGAAAATAACAAAGCTGTACATTTCTAGTTTAAAGGGAAATAAAAAGCCTGGAATTATATGTTTCTTGTTGGGGAACAAGTAGTTATGGTACAGTTTCACAGGCTTATCTTCTCTAAAACTTTCTCACTCGCTAATTGAAAGAGGCAGTTGATCTTCCAAGAAGCTTACAGTGATGATGGGATTTATTTTTTCTAAATGTGAATAATCAGTTAAGTGAGATGAGACATAAATAGAGATTAGATACCAGTCACATCATGCCTGTGACAGGCGTTGAAGACAGATGTACAGAATGCCCTTTTGGAAACTCCAGTTTCTCTTCACTGCCTATAGAGGAAGTGGAGATGAAAGGCACAGACGGGACACAAGCTTTTAGATAACTAAAGGTCATGAGATGAATCCCATACTGAACACTGTTAAAACACCAGAATTTCTAAGTGATAGAAAAACTGTTTGTAGTCTTATATGTCCTGCTACCTAAAGATGCCCACTAACAAAAACAAGATGAAAAACTGAAGCAAAGCACAAGCAAAAGCTGTTTTTAAAAGAAATTGTATCTCACTTTTGAGTATTTGACTTGTAGAAATAGTCTCTTGCTTTTTCTTCTCTCCACCTTGCAGAAGGATCACTTGATTCCTAAGAGAAATCAAATACATGGCAGAAAGCAACACTATCAACATATATGACACTTCGATTGCTTGTTTAAAGAGTGAATTGTATGTATCTGCATTTTCCTAGTTTACTATCTTCTTTTTCATCAAAATGTGAAACATGGAATTTCATTCACATACTTCACCAGCCAGCACTGGAGATCAAGAATGGATCTGAGTTTTACTCAGGAAGGAAAATTTAATATAGTGAGTGCAAGTTTAAAAATGAATAGAATGTCCTTGCCTCTCTACTCCTGAGGAAGGTAGCCTTCCATTTGTTATATTATTTATAGAATGGCATAGCAAACACATTTTGCAGTCCCTCACATATGCCTGAAGTATTTTTATGATGTTCACTGCTACAAATGGTGTTCCCCAGGGTTCAATTCCAGGGCTAATTCTGTTCAACATATTTATCAACTGTCTGGATGCAGGAGTTGAATGCACCATTAGCAAGTTTACTGATGATATCAAACTGGGAGGTGCTGATGACTCTCTTGAGGGACAAGAGGCCTTGCAGAAGGATCTAGATAGATTGGAGCATTGGGCTATGATTGATGGGGTGAAATTTATTAAGTCCAAATGCTGGATCCTACACCTAGGACAGAGTAATGCCGGGCATGAGTATAAATTGGGAGAGGAGTGGCTGGAGAGCAGCCCTGCAGAAAAGGATCTGGGGGTGCTGGTCAACAGCAGGCTCAATATGAGTCATCAGTGTGACCTGGCAGCAAACCACATCTTGGGGTGCATCAAACACAGCATAACAATGTGGTCAAGAGAGGTGATTATCCTGCTGTATTCAGTGTTTGTGCGGCCTCACCTCGAGTACTGTGTGCAGTTCTGGGCCCCACAATTTAAGAAGGATGTGAAGGTCCTTGAATGCATCCAGAGGAGGGCAACAAAGCTGGTGAAAGGGCTGGAAGGAATGCTCAGTGAGGAATGCCTAAGGACTTTGGTCTTGTCTAGTTTGGAGAAAAAGGAGGCTGAGGGGCGACCTCATCGCTATCTACCACTTCCTGAGGAGGGGAAGTGGAGAGGGAGGTGCTGATCTGTTCTCCACGGTACCCAGTGATAGGACATGTGGGAATGGTTCAGAGCTGGTCAGGGGAGGTTCAGACTGGACATTAGGAAGCATTTCTTTACTGAGAGGGTGGTCACACCCTGGAACAGGCTTCCTAGAGAAGTGGTTGATGCCCCAAGCCTGTCACTGTTCGAGCGGCATTTAGACAATGTTCAAACCATGACACCTTAATAACATGCTTTAACTTGGTCAGCCCTGAATTGGTCAGGCAGTTGGACTAGAAGATCATTGTAAGCCTCTTCCAACTGAAATACTGTATTCTATTCTTCTATTCTATTCTATCCTATCCTATTCTAACAATTTAAGCATGTGCAACACTTCAAGGACTATGAATAGTCTCATCAGTGTAGAATGATGAAAGATGACATTACATTTTCAGTATGGGAAAGATTTAGTTTGACTTGCGCTATGGAATCATTGACGTATTTACTTACTTGTTTGTGACTTGCACCAAATAAGGCAGTGCCAAAGTATTAAAGATATGAGTATTTATACGAAGTATGAGATCTCGGTATCTATTGTACATTCTGGTATTTTTACTCTAACTCCGTCTCCAGTTACATGTAACCGACACTGGTAGTATCAGCCTCACATTACAGTCTAAATGCCTTAACCAGAGTAATAGTACAAAAACCAAAAATTACTGGAGTGATGGCCACCATTAAAATCTGTTCATGCTAACATACAGCTACCTGAAATACAGCCCTTATTTCAATATAATCAGATGAAGAAATGAAAAAGTCCAATTTCACTGCACCACTGTAGTCATTGCCAAAAGAACGTTAAATGGAAAGCAGACTAGAAAGAAAATTATTTAAGCATGTTTTCTGTCATTACAAGAAAAGTACCAAACACTTGCCTTGAGATTGGGATCCATACAAAATGTAACAATACGGTGTTGGTCAGGTAGAGCAGCAGCAACTTTCACTGGAGTTCTCCAACCTGAAAGAAAGGGCTTCTTATTGTGGTAATCAATTTGCAGCAATCCTTATTGTTTTTAACTGGATGAAAACAACTCATGGCTTGTTCCAATGTTCAACCAATGTTCAGTTACCTGTTACCACTCTCAGTTACAAGCTTTCACAAAAATACATTAAATTACATGGAAGATGAAACTAAGTGATAAATAATACCACAACATACATTTCTATGGTTTGGCCTATTTCACATGTTGTCATGTACAGTACTAACTGTATAAAGGAAAGTATTCAAATTAGCAAACATAACAATAAAAGTTTGTTAATGCAACCCAAACTAGTAATTGCATATTGTATTTCTACAGTTAGGTAATCTTTGCCAAACCTGACAGCAATAAACAAGCTATTCCATGAGCAGTAGGTGACTGATTTCCTAAAGATATTTCTCTCTCTCCTTCATCCTCCCATCTTCACATTCCAATAATTTGAGCTCTGCCTGACCAGGTCCCATAAATAAGGCTTATCCACCCAGAGGCCATATCCTGCAGTTACTGTAGAGTCACAGACATGGTGACTGGTGAGCCCGTACACACATGCTGATAACGAACGGAGCTGCTGCCAAACAGAAACATGTTATAACACCCGAGTTTTAGCTCCCTCAAGAGAACATTCATTTATGTCTTTCCTCTCACCAGACTTCAATCTTCAAAAATCTTGCAGGGATGCAATGATCCTTGAGATGTTTATATCTCCGCCAAATTTGGCAGAAATTAGCCAACAGGGTTAAAAGTTATTGGGGAAAACCAAGACATAAATAAGATGAATGGAAACAACTTGTCTCCTTAGGGCATCAGGATAAAACCCACAAAATAATCCTAAAAATAAGGTAAGGGATATGCATGAGAGTATCATTAAGACTGCTGTACCACTAGCTAGCATAATGCTTTTGGTGACTTGGGGAAAAGTGTATTTCTAAATATACTTCGTTACACTAGAGTAAAAGAGGTAGGCAGCCAAATAGCCATCACACCACTCTGTGAGCACTGGAAACTATTATTTGGTATCAAGAACGTACCACTTAGGTAGTTTTCAACCTGCTTTTTACTTCCAGACCCTTCGAAATTTCCAAGACCTTTATGTAGCAAATTTAAGCTAAAAAGCAAGAGAGTTACTTTTCCTAGTTATTTGTAAAAATGTTAGGTATACTTTGGATAAAATAGTTTACAGACTAAAAGCTGAAAACCACCACACAGAATGCAAAATTAGTTCTTGCAGAACTAATCCCTCTGACAAAGTTTAAAAGAAAATCACAGCCTTCAGTAAAAAAGACTAAGTTTAGTATCCTAATGCTATATGTAGGTACTGAAAGAATATGACCAGTTTTTTATATGAGCTTTTTGCACAGTGTGCTATAACTTTAAGTTGCTGCTTTTGAAAAGCTTGACAGAATTTGTGGATCTTTGCACTGTGAAGAGTTTTCAAACTGAATCACTCTCCAATTAAAACAATTCTTTTGGAAAGTGTCTCTTAAACAGGTAACGTGCTTGTAGTAAAGATGGTGGCTGCATCTTCATTGCCTCAGCTTCGGGTAAACTTTAAATGCTATCTGCAAATATACAACTTGTACTCGTATGGGAATGTTTCCATTAAATTTTATGCCTGTAATGTTGTAATTACTTAATAGGTATGCATGTACTAGTGCCCTCTACATTAAAGAGGTAGGTGGCTCAAATATATCCATCCATATGTCCTAGTAGTTCCATAAAAAATAGTCTTCCTCTGGTCCATTGATTAAAGAGCTAAAGGTTACAACTGTTATTCCTTGTGTTGTATGTGTAAAACACTCATGTCAGCTACAATGTCCTTGGGAAGACATGTATATAATTTTACATTTGCTTTGATAATTGTACATACACATTTCTAGAGACCTCTGCTCTTGCACTGTATACTGTAATTTGCCATCATGACACTACTGGCCTACTGCTGGGATGATTAATCTTCTAACATTTACTTCTACTTTTGCTTTCAGTGGAAAGCTCTAGCGTAAAAACCACAATGATTTTTTTCTTTAAGTCAACTTTCTGGCATTTTCAATGCCCCTAATGATTTGCTCAGTCCACAGGATCAAAAATAGCATGATCTGTTCTTGTCCAAGTTGGGAACTCAGTGTCTTGGCTTTGTGATTTTTAATTAATGACAAACTTTATGATATGGTCAGTTTAAGTTTATTAATTGAAATAATCTCCTAATCTGACAAAGCAGGATTCAATGATGGATAATGAATTTGGGGAATTTCTGGCTTGGATTCTGAGTCAGAAACTGAAGATGTACTCATTCACAGTTCTAAGCTGTTTCCCAGAAACCATGAAAGCCAGAACATCTTTTTGTTTTGTTTTTAAATGCAAAAGTGAGATTCTTATGTCTCCACATAAAGACATATGTAGAGAGGTTTCACAAAACCAGCAGTCTCACAAGCTTCACTGCATCTCACTGTTGTTCAAAAACTATGCACTGTACTTGACCTCTTATATTTTAAAAATAGTAGGAGTATTGACTTCAGTGGGCCCCGCAAGAGATAATAACACCAACTGAAGGGTTTACGGATAACGTTTCCGGATTATTTTGATTAGTTATTTGGTTAATTATTCTACTTCTCTTTATACATGAAAAATAAATATAACCTATTAACACTACTTCTCTCCTCTCCTCTATTCCTTTGAAAGAAAAGGCTACAACTCATCTCCTGAAAATTAACTATAAATAAGATATAACCCGTCAGTTTATATTGGAAACACATGCATGGCAAAAGAAGCTGCAAAGATAGAACAAAGTTGTTGAATAAACAAAGCATCACTCTGCTATTAGGCAAGTGAAAAGCAAATGCATAGTGAAATACCTAACTGTAGGGATGATAAATAATCAGATCCTTAGTGCAACCACAGTTGTTTTATTCAATGGTACTCAGCCCTCAAGAGATTATTCTGATTTTTTATGCATTATTTCCAGATGACCTACTAGCTTATCAGGCAGTATGCTATTACACATTTCATTGTGTTATGGGTAATTATTTAACAGCACAGATATTCTTGAGGGTACTGTAGGCCATTTTGCATTCTTAGTTGACTTTGTTTATATGCTACAATAGTTATGAGTGATGCATGTTATTTATGAGTGCCCTTGAATTGTTCATTTGATGTTTTTCAAGTTGCACCTTTTTTTGCTCTTTGCTTTGCATTTTGTTGTCCCTGACTAACTTTTCTTTTTTCTCTTTCTGCAGGCAGGTAAAAGGTTTTGTCTCACTAAGTACATATGTTACAAACTGGGGCTGCACCAGCATTGCCTACAGTCATTTTCTATCATTACTGGAAAGGCAGGAGAGGCTGGAATCCTACTTTGATATGCCTCACACTCAATGTGCCGCTTAATCGTGGATTACTCCGGGATGATTTCTTCTCCAGAGTAATGATTACTCTGGAGAAAATGCTTCTTGCTACAGGAGAGGAAGCAGTAGGAATGGAACTCTTCCTATACAAAGGCCATTGGGAAATAAGTATAATGTGCCCACAATTTTTTTCTTCAACAGAGCCTCTTAAAGTAACAATGGAATAATAAATTTTTCACACGGATAAATAGTTTATTAGAAGGTCAGAGAAGGAGGGAAGGGGTAAATGGTAATTTTCCACGTGGATAGAGATCACCTGTAGAGAGACCTGGAGGTAACCCATGTGGGCTTAGGACGTTGTTGCTTAACATATTCACAGATTACATGGAAATAGAGGGTTGGAAGTTAAGTGATGGGTTCAAAAAGCAAATGGATATATTCATGAAGGCAAATCTGTGAATCCATGACTACTATCTACAAGCACACCATCTCCTGGTCACAAATATCTGGTAAGCAAATCATCACAATAGCAAAATACGCGGAGGAAGTATGATGACATTCTTTGTTAATTATCCACAGGCTTGGATGGAATACTGGATTAATTGGGCTTTTGGACAAATGCAAATATGGCCACTCTAGCAGCAGCATGAGTTAACTGCTTATTTCTTACTATCGAGTCTATAGGTAAACTCTATAGTGTTTCCCATTTCCCAGTTTTTGAAGAAAACTGTATCTACAGATGTGTCAGCTTCCAGTAGGGTAAGAAGTCATCTCTGTTCCTTATCAGACTTATCAAATATCCTGGTTCCTTCTGCAATCCTCACGCCCATCTGTCTGTTAAGTCACACGAAACTGAATAATTACAAACTGGATATGAGGGCTTTGTCACCAGGTTCCCAGGTACAAATATACCTGCACGGTCAAATTCTGAGGTCCTCCTAAACACTGCAAAGAAACTTTGAGACCACAGGGAAAAGGTTACAAAATCCTGTTGCCATATGAGCGAGAGGAGAGGACTCTACAGGCAAACACAGTCAACT